AAAAAAAAAAAAAAAAAAAAAAAAAAAAAAAAATGAAACTCACAATTTAGAAATAACAGATTAGGTTAGGTTTAATTTTTTTAATTTTTTTTTGAAATTTTAGATTAGTTGGATTAATGTTTCGAGCCATTTGAATAAAATTCATAACCCAACCTAACCCAATTATCTATTTTCTAGTTGGGTTATCGGGCTAGTTGTCAAATAATTTTTTTAAAATTATTTAAAAAAAAAATCATACTCATCTATCATAACATTAATAACTAAAACATCAAATATTCACAAATCATATCGTAACATGATTACAAACATTCAAATATTCTTAATTTATAATAACTTAGTCAATTTGACCAATCGGATCCTGAAGGTATGATTACAATACTGGTTAACTAAAAAAAGTATCACCTATGAATCAACCATAATTTCTCGATTTCTAAAAATTCAACCTAATCCAAGTCGAGAAAAAATTTAACCCACCTAAGTAAAATTTACTGTTTTGAGTTAAATAATTCGAATCAAGTAATATGTGAGCGTGACATGTGGGATGAGATATTGAGTGGGGACAACATTACTAAGAGTGACATGTGATGTGAGAAGCAAAACAACGCAAATCATTTCAACATAAATACATAAATTAATACAAAAAAAAGGGCAAAACCAAGATCCAATTTCTTCTTCTCTTTCATAGACGACTTTGCTTCTGCTGCTACCTGCCCTGCCATGTCCACACTCAACTTTTCACAAGCTCATCTCCCTAGACTTATGGGCAAGAAATCGATGAACATGTCAGATGTATCCATCATTCTTATATCTGTTCTAAATTCAAGTGTTCAAAGTCAAGATTCAATATTCAGGATTAACCCTATTAAACATAAACAAACATCATTGATATAAAGAATTATACCTCCTTTAGTGTTTGCCATAGACTTGGCTTCTCTTTGCTGCAACCCTTTGGCCCTACTCATTAATTTATCTTCCACTTCTGTCATCCCAACCCATTGCAACTATATATATATATACACATATAATACACTCATGAGGTTGATATATTCGAGAGAGAGAGATGGTAAGTGAAGGGTATTTGCCATTGTTTGAGACTAAAGAAGGTAAGGGGAGAGTTGCATATAGGGTTTTTGCAGCCTCCATTTTCGTGGGGATTTGTTTCATTTGGAGTTACAGAGCAAGGTTTGTACCAGAAGAAGAAGGAAGATGGGGTTGGCTTGGTTTGTTTGCTGCTGAGATATGGTTCGGATTTTACTGGATTCTCACTCAGGCTCCTCGTTGTAATCCAATTTACAGGCGCACTTTTAAACACAACCTCTCTAAGAGGTTGCTCTCTCTCCCTCTCTCTCAGTTTCAGTGTTTCTTTCGCTTGGATTCTATGATGTTTGAATTGGGATATTGTTGTGGAACATGAGGAACAAGCTCCCTCTCTGTTTCTCTAACTTGGTTTATGTGATTTTTTAAATGGGATGTTGTGAACAGGCATGAGGGACACTTACCTGGAGTGGACATATTTGTGTGCACGGCAGATCCTGAGATGGAGCCACCAGCTATGGTCATCAGCACAGTATTATCAGTCATGGCATACGATTACCCGCCCGAGAAGCTCAGCGTGTACCTTTCCGATGATGCAGGCTCCGAGCTCACCTACTATGCTCTCATGGAGGCCTCTCAATTTGCAAAGCACTGGATACCATTTTGCAAGAAGTTCAACATCCAACCAAGGGCACCTGCAGCTTACTTTGCCTTACACACTGATCATCAGAGCAACGAAGAAGTCTTTGTTCAGGTACTTTATAAAAAGAACGATCTTCTAAGAACTTTTTATGTTCTATTTCATTTGAATTTGAATCCCTGATCCGATAAAATATGTGTAATCAGATAAAAAATAAAGAAATCAAATCATTCTTTTTAAGTTAACTAGAATCTGATGAAAGGCATAATTACTGCACATAGCCATCATTATCATTTCAAGTTAGTTTCCAGCTACATGTAACAGGTGATATCTGTATTAGATCATAGCTTGTTTTTGAACTAAAACCGAACAATGAAACACAGCATGCAATATTGAGAATATTTCAAGTTCGCACTAATGGCTGCTTTTACCTGAATGGTTTCTTCTTTTGAAGAAACTATACAAAGACATGGAGAGTAGAATCAAAGCTGCAGTTGAGCTAGGTCGGGTTCCTGAAGAAATACGGTCAAGTAGTGAAGGGTTTTCCCAGTGGGAAACTTATACATCTCGTCGCGACCACGATACTATCCTTCAGGTAATTTCTGTCACTTTCCCTTCATGAAAAATTTAAAACACATCAGATTACATACATTAAAGATTGCACACATCTCTCTGTTTACACTTTCTCATGTTACTTTCTCCAATATGTTGCCTTAATCTAGAGATGCAAGTATTTCTAATATTTGATTTTCTGTTCCCAACATCCCAGATATTAATAGATGGGAGAGATACAAAAGCCACAGATGTTGAGGGGTCTAGGTTACCAACTTTAGTGTATTTGGCTCGTGCTAAGAGTCCTCAGTATTTCCACAACTTCAAAGCTGGAGCCATGAATGCGCTGGTAATTATCTACTTGAATGTGCTCATAAAGAGAGACACAGGCCTTAACCTACACATACCTTCACAAAAGTTAAATTTGTTCGAGAATACAACTACAGCACCTTAAATATCAAGCTAATGCACTGATTAACATTACTTTTCACAATCAGATATCATTCAATCTACATGGATACTAGTTAATGCTTTAGAACATGTTACGTGAGTAGTACTAACCTGGTTGTGCATGGTTCCATTTTCAGCTTCGGGTCTCATCACAGATAAGCAACGGGAAAATCGTACTCAATGTCGACTGTGATATGTATTCAAACAACTCTGATGCCATAAGAGATGCACTTTGCTTTTTTATGGATGAAGAGAAGGGCCACGAGATCGCATATGTGCAATTTCCACAGAAGTTTGACAATGTATTGAAGAATGAAATCTACTCAAGTACTTTACGAGTCCATAGTGAGGTAAGTGGTAGTCAGTACCAGAAAGTTCAAAAGGTTTATAGGTAGCTTTGTTTCAGTTGTTCAGTAATTCAAATAATGGGCGGAAATTTATATAGTTTTTTTTCTTGCAGGTGGAATTCTCTGGTTTCGATGGTTTCGAAGGCCCAATATATATAGGAACAGGCTGCTTTCACAGAAGAGACGTTCTCTGTGGTAAAAAGTACAGCAAGGGATACAGAAATAACTGGAACAGTGACTACAGGAATTTTAAAGACAGTGTAAATGAACTAGAAGAAAAATCAAAGCATCTAGCAAGCTGTTCATATGAAGAGAACACTCAATGGGGAAAAGAGGTCGATCTCTTTCCTCGTCCATCACTTCCTCTATATATCTTCCTCTCTCACAATTCTGAGCCTGATCAACAAGTTTTAAATTGCAGATGGGTTTGAGATATGGATGTCCTGTAGAAGATGTTATAACTGGGTTGTCAATACAATGCCAAGGATGGAAATCGGTTTATTGCAACCCAGAGAGGGGAGCTTTCCTAGGTGTTGCACCAACCACATTACTTCAGACACTAGTTCAACATAAGCGATGGTCGGAAGGAGACCTTCAGATTCTTCTTTCTAGGTACAGTCCTGCATGGCATGCTCGTGGAAAGATCAGTCTAGGCCTACGAATGGGATATTGCATCTATTGTCTCTGGGCTGTTAATTCCTTGGCAACAATATATTACTCCATCATCCCCTCACTTTACCTCCTCAGAGGTGTTCCCTTGTTTCCTCAGGTAAAGAACTTCCCAGCCAATTTCGAAACTTCGTAGTATTGAGAATTGTCGATAGACTTGCAGCTTACTGCTTCGTTTACTCAGGTTTCAAGCCCATGGCTAGTACCCTTCACATATGTGATACTTGCTAAGTATGCTGCTAGTTTCGTGGAGTTTTTGTCGGCTGGAGGAACAATCCTAGGGTGGTGGAATGATCAGAGGATTTGGCTCTATAAGAGAACAAGTTCCTATCTCTTTGCTTTTATAGACACTGTCTTGAAGATACTCGGGTTTTCTGATTCAGCATTTGTAATCACAGCTAAAGTGACCGATGAAGAAGTCTCCAAAAGATATGAAAAGGAGATGATGGAATTTGGAGCTTCCTCCCCAATGTTTACTGTTATAGCAACAATTTCTTTGGTTAATTTGCTTTGCTTTCTTGGTACAGTCAAGAAAACAGTAGAGAGTGGCAGTGGTATGGTGATGGCCTTTCATACAATGGTCTTGCAGGTTCTTCTTTGTGGGATTCTGGTTCTGATCAATTGGCCTCTGTATCAAGGACTTTTCTTTAGAACAGATAAGGGCAGGATGCCAACCTCCCTCACCATTAAATCCTTCATATACGCTCTAGCCACTTGTATTTCCTTTTCATTTCTACTCTAATTTGGGATAGTACATGTAGGGGTGTCTTTTGTTTTCGTTTGTTCGATTCGAGAGTTCATTACCTTTATCTTTTGCTCTCCTAAAATATAGACTTTAAAGATTTGCTTTCTAGGCTCTGTAAAAGTCTGCAACTTTCTAAGGTATCTCTAAGTGTGTGTAGTTTGTGTAATAGGCAAACTAAACCAGAGATCAAATTCTTTCCTTCGTGGGTCCTAGGTTCGAATCTTGTTGGTCAAATAAATGTTTGTGTTATGGGAAAAGGCTATGTCAAAAGAAAAGCAAAAGAGTCGTATTACATTAATTATACCAACCACAATTATACATGATGTCCAGTGCAAAGCTTTACAGCTCACACTATAGGCAAAGACAGAATAGCAACTTTATCCTCTAATAAAAAACCACCATATTAATAGTATGAATACAATACATGTTCGTCTTCTTTTACTTCTTCCTCCACAACAACACTCAGATTTACATGAAATTGAATAAAATTTAGTAGGACCTTCAAGGCTCCATGAAAGTTCATCGTATTCGAGAGGCCACAGCAAACACGACTATAGAATAATATTTTTTTCAACTGAGACCTCTTAACCCAACCTTCTCAAGACTCAGCAGGGGGACTTTGGATACAGCAAAGCCATTTCTTCTGATAATCATCCACATGAGGAAAAAAAAAAAAAAAAAAGTCCAAAGAAAACTTGTAAATACATTATGTAAGGTAAAACTGCAGATTATTCATTTTATACACATAAGAACCAGAAAAGAGTAAACAAAGCACCAAGATCAAGCCATTCAACTCAAATGACTACATTTGTGCAACAAGAACCCGAGCCCTCTCAAAGATATAGAAAACTAGGAAATTCATGTTCCACGCACACACAGTTCCTAACAAGGCATATACAATCAAACAAATGCTAAATTTTTAACATTAAATGATGTGATCTCATCCCTCCTAAAAACTGTTCGATATGTTTTTAACATTCGTGTACCTCATCGATATGTTTCAATTCCAGATGATGATATTTCCCAAGAATTTGAACAAACCTCAATGCAGATATATGTGCATACATGCACACTCACACTAATCATAATCAACGCTCTCAGAAATTCATTGACAGTAATAGACCAAACAATGGTCTAATGTTTCAAAAGAAACATTCTTTAGATGCCAATTAGTTAATACTATCAATAGACATGCCATCTAAGACGACCATCCAACATCAAAATTGAAAAAGGATTATGAATGATGTCTTACAGGCGGTGCCTTGGCAGGATTTGCTCCAGGCCTGCCCTGTGCATCAACTTTTCCAGGTGAATCAGGTTTGCCGCCTGTTTTCTTCTCATCTCTAGCTTTGTTAAAAATCACAGTAAATCCCTCAGCAGATGTCGGATCATTAACATCCCACTCACCAAATTTGGGCAATGGCCGACCCTTGTCCTACAGAAAGAGAGAATAGCAAAATGTACCCTCTGTGAATCTGGTAACTTTCATTAACAATCAGACTATGAATCTAACATCTATGCAATATTGCTTTATGGCCACAGATTTAATAAATACCTTCAAATCCGATACGAATCAATCAAACAATAAACAATGGACCAATTAAAAAGTTCGCTCCAAGAGCACAATATATCTGAATGTAGCCAACGCTTTATTGATTGAAAGTTTAGAAACGACCTCGAACAACGAATTAAAATCCAGATTTTCGTCCGATTAAAACTAGAACAGCTTCAAAATCAGGAAAAGGAACAAATAAATCAAAGCGCAAACCATTCAAACCTGGAATTGAACAATCCTTAAGGAAATCAAACAAATCAAATTGGCGAATCGAACCAAGAAAACGGAAAATTCAGCAGGAAGAAAAGCTCATACCGATTGAGAAGCACACCAAAGCAAGAACAAAAAAAATAAAAATCCTTACAAAACATTAATCAAGCGATGACATACCGCCATGAATTTCAGAGAGAACGATTCCGAGGAAAAGGAAATGAATTTGAAATCAATGAATGGGAGAAAAATAACAAAGACGGATTGAGAGAGCAGACGAGGCGACTTTTGTAAATTGGGGCAAAAGTGGGCTGATTGGATACGGAAAATCCTTTTCCTATATATATATATATATATATACTTTTTATATATTTATTTATTTATTTATGTTTTGGAAAGATTTTTTATAGTGACATTAGAATGGATATTTTAAGCAAATACTTTAATTATAATTAATTTGTAAAGTATTAGAAAATGTTTTGATTTTTCTAAAAATAAAAAATATATTTTGAAAATGACAAATTACCAAAATACCCATGGGTTCAAGATATTTGCAATTGCTTAGAAAATCTAAGGTGGTATAGTGAGCAACCTGCAATGTAGGAATTCAAATCTAAATTCGAGGTCTATGGCTAACCATTTTCTTTCAAACCAAGTCCTAAAAGTTCCAAATAAGCACCCAACAAATTTTTACAGGATTTAAGAGCTAAAAGTATCCCAAACGTGTTTTTCCAACCAATCAGAGGCTACGAGCAAATTCGCCTCTTCTCATCTAAGCCAATCGTTTTCTAGATGTCAATGACCATTTCTCGTGAAAATCAACAAGGCAATGGCAAGATCAAGAGTAACTAAAGAAAATTGAGCTTCTATAGGTTATCTCATCGGATAACATCAATCTCATTAGCTTTGTAGAGATGAGATAAGAAGAATTCATGAAGATATCGGGGCCTGAGAAGGTCCCCATTGTGCTACCCAATGAATGTCGATTCGGCGCCAAAAAAAAAAAAAAAAAAAAAAGNAAGAATTAAGAGATTGGTAGCCCACACATAAAGTCGTTCTTCCTAAATCATTACTTTAGTTTTAAAGGAAGATAAGAATTTTTTTTTCTTTTTTTTTTAGGAATCGAGACCTGAAAATGTCTAAATCGTATCAACTAATTAAAAATTTATAGACTTTAATATATAAAATTGTCTATAATTTTTTTTATTAATTTATAAATTTTTAATACATTAAAGATTTTTTTTTATTTTTTTTGAAAAATAGAGAATATATTTAACTTATTTTATTAAATAAATCTTTTATTGTAAATAAAAAAGATTTTAGTCCCAACTTTCTATATATTTATTTTAATCTCTTAATATAATTTTCTAAAATTTATGATGTTTTTATCTTCGATTATCAATTTTTGTTAAATTTAATTGATTAAAATATATATTTTAAAACATTTATAAATATTTGGAATGAATGTGTGATTAATATTAAATATCAATAATATAATTCAAAATAAAATTGTAAATTGAATATGCTAAAGATAATATTCCAAAAAAATATTAAATTTGTTTAATAGAATTTAAATTTAAATTGTGGAAATAAGAATCTAAACTTTATTATTATAAAGATTAATTAATTTATGAATTTTTTAAATAAAATATTTTATTAGCAAAGAACAAACAAAAATTGATGAATATAGTTTGGATGGGATTGTTTTGAAAATCAACCTATGAGATTTATGATAATGACATTTCTATGCTTTTAGGCATTTGTATTTATTTTATTAACCACTTTCCAAAATAAATTAAAATAATAATATATAGAGAACATTTTTTTTAATATTTTTTATTACTTTTTAATATAAAGTATAAAGTTTTTTTTAAAAAAAAGGTCACTAATTACGGAGATCTAACGATGTTAGAAGAAATGATATATAAATGAACCGAAACCATATTCAAATGAAATCGATCCTGACTAAAAAATACCTAAAAGAAATGAAAATGAGCGCATACACCAGATTAAATCGGATCCAAATCTTAAAGTAAGAAAAAGGGTATTTGTGACACCCAATTGTTCGAGTTATAAAATTTTCAAATCAAACAACTTTTAGTAGATAATGAACCCAACCTAACCATAATTTTTTTTTTTTTTTTTTTTTTTTTTTTTT